CAGCATTCACCAGTGTGTACCCCATTATACAGCAATGTGTTGTGTCTGCGTCACAACGCCTAACCTGTCCCCACTGACAAGAGCCTTATTGTCTGGTGCATGAATCATATGCTCGTACCCCATTAGTAGTCGGCCTTCAAATGGCTATCACAGCCCAGCTTGGATGTCTTTTGGCTCACTCTCTGAGATCAGATAGCAGCATGTGATTTATTAGTCACCGGGACTCGGTTTTGTTCTCCTCCTCCTTAATGCCTTTTGTAAGATTTCCTTGAGGGTGGCATTCAGAAAAAAACAGGCCCTAGATGTGATACTCAAAGCCACCTTATTTGCCAATCGGCAGAGTCGCGCATCACTTTCTTTTATATTCTGGCATCACCAATATCCTGCTCAAAGAATAGAAAAGTGACAAGTCACATCCCTCACTGGTCAGCAGGGTTGGAATATGTTTAGAAAATCGTTGAACTGGCCACCATCAGCACAAAAAGAGGGTGATTCCTTTTCCATCGTGGACTTAAGAAAGTTGAAAATATAACTTATTCAACTCTGACCCACTGTGAATCTTACAAAACTGGGTGTCTGTTGAAAAGAAAAAAGGTCACAGCTTGAATCTCGAAAATCTCTCCTCACAGGGGAAGCAGATTTCAGTTACTCAACTTCAGCAAGACTTTAATCACAATGGAGCAACAAGAGTTAAGTTGACTGAAAGTTAAGACCTTTTTGCCAATACGCAGACTCCTCTTATGCACTAATACATAATAATATGCCTCCATCACTCGAGTTGTACTACACAGTAATATGGCAACACTGCATTGTTAATACAAGGTATTACATTTGGAAGTGCATTTATGTTGCTTGCTCTCTCTAGGAGCAGTGTTCTAATAAGTCTTGGTGTACAACATTTCATTTGATGAGGTACCATTTCCAACTTTAAGTGCATTTCTACTACAACAACTACTATTACTGCTACTTCAAACACTACTTTGTATAGCCTACTACTATTACTACGGCTACTATTAGTATTGATTGACGTAACAGACACACTGCTGCACTTTGTACACCTGATAATGTACTTTTGTTACTCCGTGTCCGACTTGGTTAGTTTTTCCATGACTCACTTCACTTGACTCCATTTACACCTGCTATTAAAATCTCATCTGTATCTGATTAAGGGTAAACACGTGTTCAGGACGGATGTAAAGGCACGTTATTGGTCCAAACCTGATCGAACATATCAGTGCATTACAATCCAGATAAGCAGAGTCCGATTTTTGAAAACGTTTTTTTGGGAGAGAAAAACCCATGTAGGTAGGAATAGTGTTGCAAAGGGGCGGAACTTTTCCAGTAAATATCCATGGGAAGTTAAGCTGGGGAATTTTGGAAATATTCGATATTGGAAACCTTCCATGGGAATAATGGGAATTTATGGGAACTAACTGGGAATTGAGGGTAAAGTAATCGAATTGTATCATATCCAAGCATAAATATAAACATTTTGTTTTGTCATAAGAAAACATCCATGCAAAATTATACAACAAAAAAACATGACATTTCAACAGTATGTAGAACAGAACAAGATTTAATTATTTTATTGAACAATCATTTGTTTCATTGAAGAACAAAAACATGAATGTTGAGTTAAATTACTTCTAGAAATCATCTGTGCATGTGATGGAGGAATGCACAGTGTCTGTAGGGGGTGTGGTCTCAATAGCCATGCAGTAAGCCGTGTGCTATGGCATGGATATTCAAGTGTACTTGAATGGCATCTGTTTGTTTTAGTCAAGATGATGCTAAAATATACTTTCCCCAACTATATTTAAGTTCCCTATGAAGAGCCAACCTTCAATTTAGAAAAATCCCAGTTTTTTTTCTTTGAAAATTCCCAGAACTTTGCAACCCTAGGTAGGAATGTCATGACTCATTTTGTAGTTTGTAGTCTCTTCACAAAAACACTGATTGCTGCTACCAGTTTTTGCTGCTTTAACTGATCCACTGTGAAGAAGTAACTGCATTCCAGCAGCTACAAACTAAAGAATCATTCAAAAATCCTCTGGTGGCAGTTGTGAGCTTTTGACTAGGGCTGGGACTCGATTAAAAAAATTAATCTAATTAATTAGAGGTTTTGTAATTAATTAATCGAAATTAATCGCATTTTTAATCGCATATAAATATTTGACCTGGGAACAGTGAGAAGATGTCAATAAAGTGTGCCGTCACACAGAGGTAATTTGAATTGCTTACCGAGGTCCAATGATTCGGGCAGTTTCTCCAATAAATTCTCTTTATCTTCCTTTTCATTGTCATAAAGCTGCTGGATTCTTTTTGTCACTGTCTTTCTGCATGGCAGCTCATATGTTGTGTCAGACGATGCAATCTGTAGTACCTTTTGCAGCCCCTTCTCTTCTACCACTCCAAGTGGTCTACAGTCGAGTGCAATCCAGTGAGCTGGTTATTTTTTCAGACGTGGACTTAGTTATCCTGGCCCTGAAACCAGTCATCTGGTTGAGTGTGGGTTGGGTACTTGTCAACCCTCCCGATTTTCGCGGGAGACTCCCGATTTCACTGCCCTCTCCCGGTTTCCTCCCGGGGTCATATTTCTCCCGCATTTCTGACAAAATCAGATTTACACACGACAAGAATCGACAACTACTCTACTCTCTGCTCACTCCTTTCCTGTAAAATGCAGGTACCAGTCCACACATATGCTCCATCAAGGACGGTGCTACAGGCCGCAAGGCAGTGCACTTACAACTACAATAAGCATGTTAATGTTAATCTAAAAGCTCCGGCGATCCACTAGCACCCCCCCATTTTGCATTTTGAAATGCTCCCGATTTCTGAGGGCAACTATGGTGTGGGTCCTTAAACTCGGAGTCGGGCTAACGTCCACGCTAGCTTCCACGCTAGCTGCTATATGTTTTGCATTGAGGTGATACTTGAGGCTTGATGTGCTGCGGTGATATGCGAATTCCTTTTTGCATAATTTGCATACAACCGTGCTCTTATCGACGCTTCCATCCGTCCGTTTTTAAAACAAAATGTCCCATCCACGGGGCCAACCAAGCGGTCTCATCAGCTTCTTCGTTCATGTTTGACTATTGTTCACTGTGGTTTGTTGTTGTCTGAAGTCATGAACGTTAGTTGGTGCTCCAGTATAATCGGTACGCCTGAAACTCATCCAGTGAGAAACGTTCCGCCGGGCAAAAATAAGTGCGATTAAAATGCGTTAATTTTTTTAACGCGTTAATGTTTGTGTAATTAATTAATCTTAATTAACGCGTTAAAGTCCCGGCCCTACTTTTGACGTTTTTTAAAAAGCTCTAAAATGACCCTCTTCACCCATTTTGAAAAGTAAATATCAGCCACGCTTTACATTTTTAATGATCCGACACCTGCCTTTTTTGGTCTACTCTTTTCCCCAACCTATCTTTAAAAGAACACACAATGCAGAAAACAAAGGCACACACACATTGAGTAAATGGAAAAGTCGTAATTGATTTAATTACCATCTGCGCACCATATCCAGATGCCGTTCACTTTACTCTGGGATTTAGTTGCCAGGTGTGTCTTCTTTGTTTGTAAGTCTTTTACAACCTATTTTTTCCCCTCTGTTTTTTTATGTCCAGTCATCTGCTCTTCTTTTGTTCTTTCGTTAAGTTTTGTTAGGGTGTTATTTTTCTGCTTTTATAGACCTGCCCCACAGCAGTTTCCTATCAATATGTTGACGAGGCAATAAAAGTACTGAAGAAATGTAAAAAAAATCCCTGTTTAATATGTCAGATTATTGGGCCTGTATAGACCCTGATTACATCCAGTGTGATGCAACGACTTTCAAAACTGTGTTATTCGCTACCTATGATACTCGGGTTAATAGGCCACATCAAACCGGTGTCATAGTCTGTCAGCCTTGAGCGTATCATTGTTAAAAGTTCACTGTCACTGCTATATAGATATGATAGACTTTGTAGAGTGTGGGAAACTGATTGTAACCTCGGTATTTAGGATAGTGTGTTACTTTACACTTACATAAACACACATGCACACACCAAATTCAGCATTGTTATATTGTGCCCACATGTTTCCCACCCTCTGCTTTCTCAGCCTGATTGCCAAGACACATCTGGTCCTAATGAGGTGTGTGTGTCTCTCCCTTTGCTATGCAGCCCCTCAGCCTGGCCTTGTGTTGTAGTTGTGTTGAGTCTTTTACTGCCACCCACTGCTTTACAACTCAAAGCCTATACTTTTTGTGTGTGTGTGTGTGTGTGTGTGTGTGTGTGTGTGTGTGTGTGTGTGTGTGTGTGTGTGTGTGTGTGTGTGTGTGTTATAAAACCAAAGCTTATATTTTGTCTGCACATATCTCAAGGCTTGGTTATCTGTTAAAACAGTGCAGATTTTCTAACGTTGATGGCAATAGAAGTGACGTTTGATATGACTGCGGTCTCTGGGAACTGATATATTCCCAATGCTTATAACGAGCACAAAAGCCATAGAGTGAAGCTAGTATTTCTACTTAAACGTTTGATTGTAACTGTGATTCCCAACAGTCTCATATATTATAACCTTTAATACTCTTCTTTACTAAGTCATTGCTGTATTATATTCTTCTTTACTGAAATTGGAAACTGTTTACAATCTTTTGTTTCACTTTTATCTCCACTGACACAAAAAACAGCCTTCAAGTTCAAAGAATGGATGCGAGTCGACTGGTTTCTTGCAAAATGTAACATGCCTTTTAGAGCCAAACACATTGTATGAATTCCTGACTATTATAACCTGTAAACACAAGCAGTTATTTCCCCATGGTGTTGACCCTGGAACCAGAAGAAGAGCAGTAAAGGAAATGATTAATAACTTAAGAAGGATAATGGATTATATGCAGAGTGCACTAACAACTTTTAACTAAGTTAAAGGAATTAGGAAAGCCAAGTTTTACTTTAAATTTTCCCCTGTTTATGATCATCCAGCTTTAACACCCCTCTCCTCTCTCCTCTGTCCCCCAGGGTTTGCCTTTCCGGATTGGGCCTACAAGCCCGAGTCGAGCCCGGGCTCCAGACAGATCCAGCTCTGGCACTTCATCCTGGAGCTGCTGAGGAAGGAGGAGTACCACGATGTCATCGCCTGGCAGGGAGACTACGGAGAGTTCGTCATCAAGGACCCGGACGAGGTGGCCCGCTTGTGGGGGGCCAGGAAGGCTAAACCGCAGATGAACTACGACAAGCTCAGCCGAGCTCTGAGGTGAGACTAAAGCGTTTTTTTTTTTTTTTAAAAGCACGTTTTTTCAAATGTGCATGCCGGGATATCTCTGCAGCTCCACAATACTTCATGAAAATGTTATTAAAACACACATTTTACTTTAGCAAATTATGTGCTTCCCGAAATTGTCGTCCATATTGTGATTTCGATTTTTTTTTTTTTATTTATTCTGCACTCCTACAGGTGTCAATATTCAAAGACAAACACACCAAGATTCAGGGAATACCACAGAATGTTAAAAGATAATTGGGGCCCCTTTACCTCTTGCTTGGTCTGATGATACTTGTTGGTATATTAACAGCTAAAACAAACATTGGGCTTCCTTTGGTTCTGGCTTCAGTTTGAAAGGTAATACCCATCCTAAGTGAGACGGGTCTGGACTGTTTCATCTTTATGTTTAGGTCATATTTTCTGCGTAGGTATCCACACCACAGGAGTCAGATAATGGCAAAGAGCCCGGACGGGTCAATTTCAAGTTACAGGAACTGGAGTCATGTTGTTTTGAACTCCAGATGAACTGAGATAAACTCAGCGAAGCATACAAGACTGATTACAAAAAAACACATCCAATTTGTAAGGGCTAGGATATCTGTACAGTCGGGTTAAGTATAACAGTGTGTCCTTTCACAACCATCAGAACGCCAACAAGACTTGCTTTCAAAAATGTGTCTCCGTTTTGAATAATCTTCACACTAAATAGTATTTCCAATAGTGCACGCTGAATAATAGAGAGGTAATGTGGTGATATAAGCTGACATCTATTTATTTATAAAGATTCTGTTGATTTAGTCTTAGGAAAAGGTTTGGGTACAATTGTCGCAGAATGATAGTGAAGATTTGAAGACAATTGATTTCTACCATGTAGTATTGGGTGTATGTTAATGATCTCGAAGTAGAAGGCAGTTTCTTTTCTCCGCTTATTTCTCGGGTACATTTGTTCTTAATTACATCGGCGTCAAATTTACGTGAAAAAAATAATGGTGTTTTGTCGTGATCCTCGCTTCGTGCTGGAACTCCAAGGTGACGGCAGATTTAGAAACACACCTTCACCCTCCATGGAGCACATGTGGGATGCTGCCGAGTTTTATTTAGCCGCCAGTCTGTTCCTGTACATAAACACACACACGCTGGCACATACACATGCTGCTAGTCATCGATGTCGCCTCCTGTTTTGTAGGTTGGTGTGGGTTATAGTTTGCCATGGTGATGACAAGTTACACTGCCTCATCGGCACACACGCACACACCCACGTGCACACACATACACGTATCACTTTGTTATATGTCAGCCCTCCTCCAGCCCATCTGCGTCTTGTTTTTTGCTTGAACCTTTTTTTGTCTGACTGAACCTCATATGTAACCGTATTTAAAGACACACACCTTGTATTGAAATATTTGTAATCAAATGTTTTTAGTTTTTATGTATATGGTGCTGACATTACACTTTGATTTTGCTGTATTGCTTATCAATTAGTTAGTTCATTTAACATTGACAATAAGGATAACAAAACATTGTGATAGGCAGAAAGAGATGTAATATGTATAGGTTGTTTTGCTGTGTGCTTTATATAATGATTCAGCATCATCAGTTAAGTCACCGTATAGTTTGCAGTTTTCATAATAAACCAATTCTCATGTATAATAAATATATCATTTATTTATATGTATATCTTCATTCAGAATTTGCATTGTATTACAAAGCTGTACAAACAATAAACACTCACTCAATCCCCCCCACATCTACAACAGAGAGGGTGATGTTAACGGTAGTAAGAAACGGGATACATTTTTTTTACATTTAAATTAATTGGTAATAATTGGTTACACAGAAATGGCTCGTATGCTTGATCAAGAGTTAAGCCCACAAAGATCTAACGGTTCATTTGATACAGGAGCAGTAACTTTGTCTCTCTTCTCAGTGACATCAGTGAACAGCTGGAGACAAACTGTGTGTGTGTGTGTGTGTGTGTGTGTGTGTGTGTGTGTGTGTGTGTGTGTGTGTGTGTGTGTGTGTGTGTGTGTGTGTGTGTGTGTGTGTGTGTGTGTGTGTGTGTGTGTGTGTGTGTGTGTGTGTGTGTGTGTGTGTGTGTGTGTGTGTGTGTGTGTGTGTGTGTGTGTGTGTGTGTGTGTGTGTCTAACTGGAAATACCTGTGTTTTCAGGTGAGATATGAATAGATGTTTGGACGCTGCGTTTCATTTGACTACGCCAACAAAGACAGGTGTTCTAAAACAGGAAGTATTTGAAAAGATCTCTTTATGTGATTATACTTGTGTTTATCAGCTGTAATAAAATAAGCTCTGGGGAAGTAAGAGCGTCACGCTGCGGCTGAAGGACTCCATCAGAGAGAGTCAACATCAGGAGGATGTGGTTAGAGAAAGTATTTCAGTTTAAACAGGGAGGAACATGCCAAGCTGAGGAAAGGTGAGCAGGTGAGCGGGCGAGCAGGCGAGCAGGTGAGCAGGTGAGCAGGTGAGCAGGCGAGCAGGCGAGCAGGCGAGCAGGTGAGCAGGTGAGGAGAGTCAGACGTTCAGAGAGCTGCACGTCGAGGTGCTGTTTAGTCATTAAAGAGGCCATTAAGAACGAGAGGACACTTAAACTGATGAGCAGCTAATTAGCTCTCAGACTTAATTCAAACTGTAGTCTTACGTCGCAGCACTCAGGAGTTTCAGGGCTTCCTCTGCCTCCACTGGTTGGCTAGTCTGTGTTATTGTGTAACTTAAATATCAATAAAGAGCGTCAGATTGCACCAAAGGTCTCTCAATAACACAAACTGACTAACAGACCGACGGAGAGGAGGACCAGCAGCGCCTCTGACCCTTCGGTCTTTAAAGAGAGGAAACGTCTTCAGTGTGAAACCTGCCTGAGCTAACACATGAAGAAACTAGAATACTCCAAAAACTGATGTATTCTTTTAAGGTTTAGAGGTTTTGAGGTACTTGTACTATAGCTGAGTATTTTCTTTTCATGCCACTTCTACCGCACTATAAAAGGGTACTTTCTACTGATCATTAGGATTTTTACATAAAACACGAGTTTTAAAATAAAAAATAGTCAAAACTTCTCGTTTAGATTCTTGTAAAGCTGTGAAAATATTATATTTCTTGCATATACTTTTTTCTGATATAGATTTTGTTTTAGATTTGGAGGTACTTGTACTTTCCCTGAGTATTCTCAACATAAACTTTATTTTGAATTATTACATTTTTGGGGTATTTAAAACAAAATAATTCAATCATTTATTGACTTTCTTTCAGAACACTTACTTTTACTTTTGAACATTTTCAATCCAGGACTTGTATTTGCAAGAACGCCTTTCATCCACTGTGGTACAAGCACCTTTACTTAAGTAATCTGAATACTCCACCTCCTCAGGAAACCACTACTGATCGCTCGACTCAAACGATCTTTGTGCTGAAAAACGAGCTCCCAGATATTTTAAATTCCCAGTCCGACAGTGAAACAGGACCCTGAACACACCGCCACACGTGCACGTCTTCATTGAAACAGGACCCTGAACACACCGCCACACGTGCACGTCTTCATTGAAACAGGACCCTGAACACACCGCCACACGTGCACGTCTTCATTGAAACAGGACCCTGAACACACCGCCACACGTGCACGTCTTCATGCATGTTTGTTAATGGTGAGTTTGTCGACACAAACGTACCTTTTCCAGTTCAGGATCAGCCTCCAAACAAAGCTTCAGTTTGGAAGCTGTCTCTGGAGCCTGAGCAGAGAGAGCCGGAGACACACATGTTGGTTTTGAGCAGCCCTCAAAAGCAATTCAATTCTCACCAGACTCTCACTATCTGATGTTAGTCAAACAACAGAGTTCAAAACAAACGTCATACTGCAACGTAAACAAACCATGCATTTCCTAATAATGCATTTGTTTCCTTTTGTTTTCATGCTAGGACACTAGTCTTCCTGTACACATCTTTTATAGCGTAACACATGATTTCACTTTGACTGGAACATTAAATGATAGGTGGAAATAAAAAGCTATGGACGAGCATCATCAGGGTTTGTTTACAGATCAGCCAAACTCTGTTTACTGTGTTTCTGTTGACACAAACACTGTGAGGGTGAGTAAAGCAAACATTTACACATCTAAGGCCCCGTCCACACGGAGACGAAACGGGTTGTATCCACTACAGTTCTTTATCATATAGACAGTTCGTCCACACGAGGCCGACACGGGGCCGACACGAGGCCGACACGGGGCCGACACGGGGGGTGACACGGGGCCGACACGGGGGGTGACACGGGGCTGACACGAGGCCGACACGGGGGGTGACACGAGGCCAACACGGGGCCAACATGAGGCCGACACGAGGCGTGACACG